CCCAAGTCTCCTGTCCCCGACTCCGGCCAGCTCCGTAAAGGATAGATATCACACACCTCACGGGCTTCAGATGTCACCAAACGCGTGACAGCATCAGCTTGCGACTGAATTGCTACATTTTGTCCCAGTGTGAACGCAGTGACGGTGAGAGGGAGACTGAAGCGGTCACATCGCAGCAGCGGGGTCGTTTCAGCAGCAGATCAAAAGCAGACACAGCTGTGCAAAGGACACATGTGTGGTCTAATCCCCCCCCAAAAACCCCGAGACGCACTGCAGCTATATGTCTGTTGGCCGGGGTCACCGAGGCAATAGGTGTGGGAAAGGAAATATCACACAAAAGTAAAACTTGCAGCAAGTTCTCATATATTTCATTTGGGACGAGATGACGGAGTCACTCGTAGGTGATAATTCTCCCCTCCCTTCAGGATCTGCAGCGGGGCTTTATCTAGGCACCTTCTATCTGGGCTGTGAGTCCTGTGAAGATGACGGTCTAATCTGACCATCTGTTTCTTATCTACTTGCTTTTATTTTGTTTTAATTTGCAAATGTGTTTGTATAACGGCTATATCTGGGCTTGCGAGCAGCAGGCGTTCAACCTGGGGGGTGGGGGGTGGATAGCACTGCTGAGATACTCCAGGTGTGTGTGTGAGGGTCGACTCGTGTGTGTGTGTGTGTGTGTGTGTGTCTGGTTCGCCCCAGAGAAGAGTCATAATACATTCAAGACATTTTGCCAAGGAAGATATTTCTCATCTTCTTGTTCATCTCGTCTGCCACTCTCACCTAAAATAATAAAGTATTTGATACATGATAGCAAAATAATTTGTGAAAATTCAGTATTTCTTGTAGCAGATGAACATATCTGGAGGAAAACAAGATCCCAGTGCCTCAGCGGTAAATGAAGAAACAAAACAAAGAGTTTGCCAAGTTAAACTCCAGCTCCGAGCGCTCCATGTATCACTCGGTGCAAACTGATAACCCGAAGCAGCACAGTCTTTCATCGAACACATTTCTCCAAACTGTGTTCATGGGATAATAATCCTCTTTGACGATTTATGTAATAGCTCCTTGTTATCATCACTTGGAGGCGTGTTTTACACAGATTATCAGCCTAAATGAGCTGTGAATTGTACGCAGCACTGCTCAGACTTGTCTCCTCTTTGTTTCACTGAAACTCATTCCTTGTGACGTGTTAGCAGGCTGATTGCAGTTTGGGCGAAAAAATTGCTTCCTCGTGGTAACTAAATAGTTTAAAAACTACTTATGGTTGCTATTTTTTGTTTTCATGTTCGTTTGTTTTTATTGCTGCGTTGTTGCAACACCAGTTTGCTAACAGGTTTAGTGAGAAGAAAGAGAAATGGCGGCGGAGTGGATGTGAAGTTTTGCTGTTTTTGTTTCTGATCTGTGAGTTTGCTGATCCTCTTATTGTGCAAATTAATTCTACAGACTTGAGAATTAAAGTCACACACCTCCATTGTTTTGCTGTTAATGATATTTGAGTTCGAGATATTAATTAGCTGCTATATCATGATGGAAGCTCAATTATTTTCCAATGTGTAAAGATTCAAACGTTTAAAGTGAAAGTTGTGACAAGATGAGACAGCAGAAAGAAAGAAAGAAAGAAAGAAAGAAAGAAAGAAAGAAAGAAAGA